TACTAATAAAAGCTAAAATGCGGCAGCTAGACTGGTGACTGGGAGTGGCTGCCGAGAACATATAACACTGGTCTTGAAAGACCTACATTGGCTCCCTGTACGTTTCGGAGCACAATTCAATGTGTTGGTGCTGATCTTTCAAGCCCTAAACAGCCTTGGCCCAGTATACCTGAAGGAGCGTCTCCACCCCCATCGTTCTGCCTGGACATTGAGGTCCAGCTCCGAGGGCCTTCTGGTGGTTCCCTCTCTGCAAGAGAGAGGAACCAGGGAACCAGGCAGAGGGCCTTCTCGGTAGTGGCGCCTGTACCTGTGTTCCACAGGTGCCCTCCCATCAGATGTCAAGGAAATAAACAACTATCTGACTTTTAGAAGACATCTGAAGGCAGCCCTGTTTAGGGAAGTTTTTAATGTTTGATGTTTTATCGTGTTTTTAATGTTCTGTTGACAGCTGCCCAGAGGAGCTGGGGAAACCCAGCCAGATGGGCGGGGTATAAATAATCAGCGGCGTAGCTAGCCACTCGAGTGCCCGGTTGCGGTGTGCGCATCCTGCAACCAGGGGCGGGGCAAGCCGCCCATGGGGGCGGGGCACGCTGCGTGGAGCCTCTCTGCTACCTCCCCCTCAACTGTAAGGCGGCTGAGGGAGAGTCGGTGGGCAGACGCAAGCCGAACACTGCTGTTTCAGGCAGCACGGAGCCTGCAGGCGCCCAAGCCACCACATCACTCCCAGGAGAGTGCTGACCCCCGTGGTGTGTTGCCCAGTGCCAGCCTTGTTTAGTTACATTTGTTGATTGAATTAAAAAGTTTTATGATCCCAATTTTTTAAATTATTTTTTAAAACTTACATTTTTGTCATTTTGTCACACACACACCCTGGGTTGACACCCAGGGCGGACCGCGCCCCCTTCCTCTGCCACTGTAAATAAATTGTTGTTGTTGTTTGTATTATTATTATTATTATTATTAAATCATTTCAGCTACAACTTTCAAACCACTCATGTTTCCATTTCCTGATTTTCACAAACTAGGATGCAATTGCTGCACACAGACTTGCACTTGTAGAATGAGTAGAGTAGGCTTGCTCTGAAAATTCCCACATGTGCAACATACGCCAAAGCTCTGGATAACTCAATGCTCCTATCGTGTTCAAAACCAATCCCGCCACTTACACTTAAATAACTATCAGGAGATTAAAGGGGTGGGGACACAATATTCTACAGCGATGAATTTCTCAATGTATTCCATGCAAATATATGTCATCAGGAAGCAATTCCTACGTTACATTTTCTTCATGGGTGTGCCTTTAGAATCACTAGACTAGAAAAGTACACATTGGGTTGGATCCAGACCTCGCCCCCGGCAGTAGCATCCCCTAAGTGGAGTTCTGCTCAGGAAAGCACAAGAAGGGCAGAGCAGAAATGCCATTTTGGCCACTCCCACCTGCAGCCTCCAGCACTGCCTTTGAGGCTGCTCCAACTGTCAGGAGCACATTTTTAGGGGGCACAGGGGTGCGGGAAATGAGCACACATCGACTACTCCGCCACTGGCATTCCTTCTCTGGATCAAAAGACTTCTGTGGATGCAAAGAGTCCTGCCATTCATGTCTGGAACCTAGCCACAGAAAATATTCTTCCAGAAATTAAATGTATGTGGATTCCCCACCCCACACTAGGGAAGAAAAAAAGAGAGAGTGTGATCAAGATATTGCATTCTTTGCAGCTCCCGAAAAAAACAAACACAAAGAGGATTTCAATTCCAAAAGAATGTTTCCCATGCTCTTTCCTTTGGCAGAATCGTTCTGAAAATAGCCCTATAGAGCAAAGCCTTATGTTGGAAGAGGCCTGGAGTCAACTGTATACATTTTCTAATATTTCGTCAGTGACGCTGCCCCCTACATCCTTCTCAGGCTTTTCCTGAGGTGGTGGGGGTCTATTATTGGATTCCAAGGGGACTTGAAGTAGCCTCAGCTTTCCTCTTTCCCACAAGTACGTTAATTAAAATAATCTTACACACCCACTGTCTAGACCTTCTGTTGCCAAAATTACTATTGTGTTTCATTACGTGCTTTCAGGGAGATCAAAGTAGACCGCTCGCAATGCTATTTAGTGAAGGGCAAAAGCCAAAACTCACTCCCCGAGTTTAGACACGCTATATTGGTACACGTCTATTTCTCCAGAGCACATTTATACATTCAGCCTGACTGGTTTCCGCACAACGTGTAGCCTCACTCCTCAGAAAAGCAAAATCCAAGCTCACATGACCACTTCTTGACGCCAGGTGATTCTTATTCTGCGCAGATTGCATCATGCCCTTGATTAGAAAGAAGACTGTCTGAAACAACTGCATCTTGCACTCAGGACAATTTTTCAGCTTGCTGCTCACCCCCGCAAAACAACCAAACCTCAGCACAGATGAGCAACTGCATGCAAAAGTAAAATCCAAAAGCAACTGTGTGAATTGGGGCCTAGCCTACCAATAATGTGGCTGTCCTCTGTGAATTTAGGCTTTCAGGTTAAGACAGAAAGTTCTAGGAAATAACTAAGAATATTAAATCACAGTCCTTGCCTAATCTGGTATGCCCTAGTTTCAATTTTACCTAGACATGAGCTAAACTTTGCAGCCCCACAAACCTCCTAGTTACAATTCAGCATCTTCCTGAGATAAGAACTATTTTGTCTTAACACTAAAAAAAAAATTTTTTTAAGTCCATCACCAAAAGAAAGCTGGTGTAGCATAGTGGTTATGAACATTAGCCTATGAGCAGGGAAATCCTAAATTTAAATCTCAAGCTCACTGATTGGCCTCTCCATCTATCATGTAGCGTTAACAACACAGGTCTACAGCTGGAAACCACAGGAAAAGACTTCTACTCTCATGTAAACTGCTAGAGACATCCAGCTTGCCACAGAATGCTGGAGAGGATGACAAACCTTGGGCCGACCCAAGGAGGCCATTCTTATGCTCAAGAAAATGATTTGTTGAACCTTCCTGGAAATTATAGGGCAGGAATTACATGCTTTCAGAAACCGAAGTTGTTGGATCACATCTCCCATCATCTGTGACCACTGGCCATGGTAGCTGGGCCTGATAGGGCCTGTAGTCCAACATCTGGAGGACAACATGTTGGCTACCCTGGCCCAGTAGTGTGGAGGGCACAGGGTGCAAAAATTTTTAGGGGCGCAAAATTTCAACACAGCCTCAACACAGCTGTGTGCTTCCATTGCTGGGCTCCACTGAAAACGGCTTCCCCATGCAAAGCAGTCAGAGACCTCTGCAGATAATTGAATAACTCTTCTTTTCTTACTTCTGCGGCTGCAATCTCCTGGGTGACACGAACACCATTAGGCAATTGAATGTGCACCCTCCCACCCAGCCCTCCGCACGGTCCCCAGGTGCTGGCACCCCTCGCTATGCCACTGCCCTGGCCTACCATATCCCTGTTAAGTGCCAGCAACCGTAAGGCTAGGGGAGAGGGATGTAAGTAGCAATGTGACTTTGTTCTCTTATCTACACGCTCTTGGAAGCGTTTTAAATCTAAGAATCAAGTAGGATAGAAGAGTGATGGATTCACTGTACTGATGCTGTTACAATTGGGACACTCAGCCCTATGATCTACCACTGGAAAAGTAAAAGAGGCATGTGTAATTAGTGGCAAAATTATCTCCCGTTTTCAATAAAGCCAGCAGCAGATCTACCATTTGCGATCATACGGGCAACCTCTACTCATTAAGCTACAGGCCAGCTGTTCAGCTTCTCTAAAGGTCAGTGCCCCACCTGGCAAAGAAGTAAATGGAAAAACACATAAGCTACTACTGTCAGAATTGCATAATGAGCATACCATGATAACAGATTCAAAGCCTCGTCAAGAACGCACCCTAATGAGAAAACACCAAATATGCTGAGCACCTGCTAGTAGAAAACCAAGAAGGATGACTAAGTAAGGTGAGCCAACGGTCCAATTACTTCTTTAACCTGTGGCAGCCTGGGCACTGAATCTAACTGGGCACACTCAGCTGGTTTAGTGGCAAGGGAGCAAGTAAGTCCTCTTGCATGTGAGAGGCTACAGAAGAACAAGGCAAGGGGCATGCATCGTGAAAGTGCCCCACAGAATCCGTTTTGGCCCAGATGGCTGCCCCATACACAAAGTCTCGGGTTCGTTCAAAAGGGCACCCTCTCTGGGGAGCATTCTCAGTTTACATGCTGACCCATTTCTATTGTTCTATATCACCCCACCTCTTCCAGAGAGTGAGGAGCATGAGAGGTAGTCACTTTCCTTGGTAACAGAGTGGAAGGGATGAGACTTGACTCCTTGCCCCATCAACCGTTCAGAGCAGCCCACAAGTTAGTTGCCGACGAGGGACAATTTCCCAACAATTCTTAAATCCTAGTACTTTTGGGTTCACCGGGTGATGAGCTTGGTTGCCTAAACAGAATACAGCTTAAAAGCAATACAGTATCATACAAGATACAATATTATGTGGCCTTGGTGCCATGATCCTTGATTCACTTCCATGGAACTAAAGGCCACTTACAACTGGCCAGCTTCTTTCACACAGCATTTTTCCAGGTTGTCACCCAAACCAGCAACTGCTTTGGGCAAACCTAGTAAGCCTTTTCGGGGCGAGAACGAAACACTATTTAATCAATTTCCCCATCAGATTATTTTAAAGCCAGTGATTAAAATAATAATAGCTATAATCCGACACACAGCATAAATTAACTGCAGCCACTGAGACATTAAAATTGGTATATCAACTTGCTTCTAAAATATGCTTCCCATTCCCTTTTTCCCTAGCTTATCATTTTCTACTGAAGTTTTTATATTAAAATTGTAGCTTTCGGTAAACATAATTTGAAAAGTATTAGCTGCTCCCCATGATTACTGACACTGAAAAGAACAACACAAGAAATATGCCTGCAGGTGCAAAATACTGTAGCATTTATCAATGAACGTATTAATAAAAATCCAATGCGCTGTTAAGTGTAAAAACACATATACCTACCAAAGTAGTCAGCCTTTGGACAAACATCCATCTCCTGCTCCAGGCGCTGCGTAAGAGCTTCTAATTTTAATTCAGCTGTGGATGGACCCTGTTCCTGCTGAGGAAGGAGTGTCTGACAGGGTAGCTTTATTTTTGCAGAAGCGGTGGTTTCTTGGTGACCAGAGTCATGCCGCAGAGTGGCTGTGCCCTCTTTAAAAGGAGATTTCGGAACATCAGAAATCATTGGCCCATGAGATGTTGAGCAGATGGAATTCTGCTCGGGACTCATGCCAGGCCCAGCACAATTGAGCCTGTGATTTTGACCGTGGACTACAAAATGACCTGCCGGTTTCGGATGAGTGTTAGTTTGCTGATAATCTACACTTGGAGGTAGGGGAGCAGGAAGGAGGCCGGAAGCTGAAGGCTGAGTACTGTCACTATGCCTCGACTGAATATTGCCATTGCTTTTGTTTGGAGTACCAGAAGCCCACAATTCCATGCCACAGTTTGGGTTAAAATCATCAGACCGATTGGGAGGGCGTCCAGAGAATGACGGAGACCTCTGCTGCGAATATTCCGCAGACAACTCATCACCAAACCCAGCGGAAGAGGACAACGGGGTACAGGCCTTAGAGAAAGACGATGATCTTGGGCAACCTGGATTTGGCTCATAGCTTTGGCTAAGCCCCGGGCCTTCGCCACTGCTTTCCTGACTTCCATACCCGCTTTCTGAAGACCTGTAGGAGTTTCGTGGCTGCTGGTATGAATGGAGATCTGCCTGAGGTTTCGTAGGACTTCTCTGCAACGACTCGTCATGATTAACGTTGGACCATAAATGGGGGCCCATGCTGGATTTCAGGCTGGGAAACTTGCCAGCATCTCTTCCCCAACTTTGAAGGCTTGCCCGGTTATCACTGTTATTGGGCTCCTCGTGAGAAAGAGAACAAAAAGATGTCTTAGGATTACATGGGTTCAGCTGACCTGCTCTCTGATAACTATGCCCTCCAGAAACGTCTGAGCCCCCAAGACTTTCACTGTATCCATAATCATCGCTGGACCTCTTGTCATCCTGGTATAACTTTGCTCGCTCTCCATCAGCATGCGCTTGGGGCTGATTTGGGAAGGCAAGTTGATGGCCTGCACACACGGTTGACGGTGTAGCCAGAGGGGGCTTTGCTGTATTTTCTCCTGAATGCAGTTTGTTTGTTCCTGCAGTGCTTCTAGCCACATGATGGCCTGGGAGCAGATGCTGAATCCCAAAACCAGCCCCGCCATTTGGAGCCCCCGAGGCCGAGTTCACCAATTCCTCTTGTTCTCGCTGTTTCTGAAGGTGAATTTTGGCCATTTTTGTAGCAAAAACCCTCCTCGTTTCTTCAAATTCTGGGTTGTTCCCAACCGCTTTGTCCACTCGAAAGAGCCCATCTTTGGAGGCTTCATACATATTGAGATCTTCTATAAATTTACTTGCCTCCAGACCCAGGTCATCGTATTTGTCCATTTTGTAAAGATTCACTTGTGCCTACAAACAAGCAGGATGGAAAAACCAAAGCGGTGGTATTTTAAGTGTTCAAGTCTGCTCAAGATTTCCACTCAGCAACCAATGGGGCTACTTCAGGCATCCAAAACATCCCATGTAAAACGTAATTAATATTTTTTATGAGAAAAAGTAGAAAAAAACAACAATAACGCAGGTCCCCAAACCTGTTCTTAAAACGTTTCCTCTTCCTCAGGTTATACAAGATAACTTTAAGTGCAGAGCGTATCCCCCCAAAAATGGCAAGATCCAATTCTTTGTGCTTTTAATCGGACAGAAATGTTTCTTCAGGCTTCCCCGGCTTTTATTCACTTTGGTGGAAAATACTGAAATAATAAATAGAGGACAAAGGGGTGTTTTAGCACAAATCTCACCAAGACTCACACATTCTCTCCCCTGCTACTGCCAGAGGAGATTACCTTGGGGGCAGACAAACTGTGGGTCAGCAAGTGTTGTTTGGGGTCAGGTCAGGGTGGTGCAAGGAAGTTTCTAAACAGAGGATCTCTCGTGGATGCTTTTAGTTGAGATTCCTGCATTGCAAGGGTTGGACTAGATGACCCTGGGGTGGGGGGATCCCTTCCACCCTTGAGAGACTCTAGGGTACCCACGGGGTCGCCGTGCGTGGAGTAAACAGGAAAAGCCCTCCAACTAGAGGAAACAGGAGCAGCTCCGGGGAAGCCGCGCGCAGGTTCCTATCCACTGTGGAGGAAGGAAGGAAGGAAACGCGCGCTTTCCAGATTCCGGCCCCGCCAAAGCAGAGGGGAAACCTTCGCCACTCCTTCGCCGCCCACCCAACCCGACTCAAACTTGGGAAAGGAGATTTCTCTCCTCGCCACCCCGCCTTCCTCAAGAATGTCCCCCTCCTTCCCGCTCCCTCGGGGGGAAAGAGGCCACTTGGAGCAGCGCGCGCGCAGACCTTTTACGCGCAAACTTTTTACGCGCGGAACTTCTGCTCGCTCGCTTGCTAGTTTGCGCGCAGGCAGCGGGCAGCGCCAACCCTTTGCTGCGGCGCTTCTCCGCCTGACTCACTCACCCGAGGGCGGACTCCGCCTGCTCTGTGGGGGGAGACGAGCTTCTCGCCTTCCTTCCCCCCCACCGACGAAAAGTTCTCGCGGGGAGGACGGCGCGCTGCTTCTCCTTCGCCAAGGGCCGTGGCGCCGCCGCCTTTGCTCTCCGCGCAACCGCGAGGTTTCCTTCCTCCCTTCCGAGGCGCCGCTCTTTTCGGGCCGCCGAGGCACTTCGGCCTCCTCCTCTTCCCTTCCTCGCTCGCTCGACAACCCCTCGCCTTCCCGTGCCAGGCTAGAGGAGGAGGCGGGAGGAGGAGGAGCCCAGGCCGGCGGGGAGGAGTTGCGAACAGGTCTTTGCAACGTGGTTGAAAGGGAAAGAGAGAGCGAGGGAGACCCGGGTTAGTCAGCGCTGGAGCGCGACCAAAACCCGCCCCGCTCTCCTCCCAGCGCTTGCAGCCTCGGGTGATTTACTCGGAGCCAGCACGGAAAACGGTTCTCAGTGCCCGTCCCGAAATACTAGCAGCAGCAGCAGCAGTAGTCCCTGCATGGTTGGCGCTTCTGCCTTCAAAACAACCCTGCGAGGTAGTCCGGGCTGAATGGCGGTGCCTGGCTCGCTGTCAGTGGCCGTTTGACACTTAACTCAGTGGTTCTCCAAGGGTGGCAAATCGCCCTGGTGTGGCAGGAGGGGATGGCAAGTGTGGCAGGAAGATTCAAGGGCAATCAAAGAAACGTTTAAACATGTCAGTGCATTGTAAACACGTCTGGCCTCACGCCGAATATGGATAGTATCTTTTCAAAACGAGAGCAAGAGCATCAGGTGACAATTGTAGACAGTCCCAGGAAAATGCCAGGATTTGTTTCTGTTTTCCAATGTACGGTATTTCTTAACAATAATAATAATTTTAAAATTGGTGTGGTTCAAGTACATGTTTATTATATAAATTCAATTAAAAATCCTATGCCCTTTTAAAAATGTGTTTTGGGGGGCACTATTTGGTTGTTTTTATTATTTTGTGGTAGCCAGTAGTGATGTATGGAAGTGAGAGCTGGACCATAAAGAAGGCTGATCGCCGAAGAATTGATGCTTTTGAATTATGGTGCTGGAGGAGACTCTTCAGAGTCCCATGGACTGCAAGAAGATCAAACGCATCCATTCTGAAGGAAATCAGACCTGAGTGCTCACTGGAAGGACAGATCGTGAAGCTGAGGCTCCAATACTTTGGCCACCTCATGAGAAGAGAAGACTCCCTGGAAAAGACCCTGATGTTGGGAAAAATGGAGGGCACAAGGAGAAGGGGACGACAGAGGATGAGATGGTTGGATAGTGTTCTCGAAGCTACAAACATGAGCCTGACCAAACTGCGGGAGGCGGTGGAAGACAGGAGTGCCTGGCGTGCTCTGGTCCATGGGGTCACGAAGAGTCGGACACGACTAAACGACTAAACAACAACAACATTATTTTGTGGTTTTATATCTTGATTTTATTCTGTGAACCGCCCTGAGACCCCCCGGGGTTTAGGGCAGTATCTAAATTAAATAAATACATAAATAAATAATATTCCAAAAGTTTGGCCCAGAAAACAAAGTTTGAGAACCACTGCACTAACAAGGCGCTGCTTTTGAGCACATGCAAGCAATGTTTCCTTCCCTCACGTTTTCTATCCAGAAACAGCATTTTTGTGGGTGCAGAATTAGTCGCACTGACTTCTGAATTCAAAAGGGCAGGGTGTTTTTTTCCCCAGCTGGAGCTCAGGCGAATGCCATTGCCTTTCTAAGAGAACAAGGGAGAAGTTTGTCGTGAGCACCTCTTTTTCTAGAAAAATAGCCCTGCAAAAGGGTATAGGTGAATGTGATGCTAAGGACCAAGACCAAGATGACGGTCCACCAAGATCTTGTGTTGAGCGGCAACCTGACACCCACCAGGAGCAACACATATTGTTCATGGACTGTGAAGAGACATTAGTGTCTCTTTTGGAAGTCCCTGGGGCATATGTTGCCTGGAGACCATCCGAGTCATGCCCCCTGACCCTAGGTCAGAAATTATAATTCACACTGCTTCAGTTTATAGTAATTAGTAAAGCTTTCATTCCTTAAAACACAGGCAGGGACCCTCAAGCCTATGGACCAAGTTAGGATTGGCACAGGCCCCAATTTGGCCTATGAGGCCATTTTCCCCAAACTGCTCACCTGCCCTACAGCTGATGTCATTGATATGTGACTTCAGGTGTGGGGTAGGTAGAGACATGGATGCAAAGGAACTACTAGGAACCTCTTGATAGTTCCCTGCCCAAAATGGGAACTCTAGTACAGCTGCTCCCACTAGGGCTTGCTGTCAGAACAAATATATGTTTTTATTTATAATAAAAATATTATAATTCTCAATTCAGTAAAAAGATCTCCATGTGCTTTATGTAAACCCAGCAAAAATGCAAACAAATCATTTAACATTTTCCCTAAAAACTAGATTAAAACAAAGCGCAAATCACAAATAAAACAGAGAATTTTCATTTGCCCAAAGAAGACTTGAATATGCCAAACTAAGCTCTCAGTAAGACAGCCCTGAATCTGTTTTCTGTTTACCTATTATTTCTACAGTAACTGTAATTAGAAAAAGCGTGCTATAGGTTTTTCTCAAAAGAAAGCTGCATGGCAGGTCATTAAGGCTGCAATTCTATAGTCACACATGAAGCTGAGTCCCCTTAAAGTCAGTGGGACTTACTTCTGGGTAGACAGGTACAGGATTGTACTGAAATATCCACATTTTACATACTAGGGAACTGTGAGCGTTACTTGTACAAAGTTGAGCAGAGATTTGAATGACTAGGTCACCTATGTTCTCGTTATTTTTTTGGCCGGTTCCCATATTCCCTTGTACTTTTATTTTTATGGACATGACATTTTGCCAAATACAAAGCATCAGACAAAATGTTCTGAATGCATTCCGTCTATAGTAAGAAAGCCCTGTGTTTCCCTCACATTCTGTCTACATGCTTGATTCCTTAGTGACTAGATAACAGTTTCTCTCTCTCTCTGTCTCATGACATTAGAACTCATAGATATCCAATGAAACCAAGTTGGAATATTCAGGATAGATAAAAGAAAGTACTTATTCAGGCAACGTAGTCAAACTGTGGATGGCCATGAACCTGGATGGCTTTAAAACAGGATTAGACAAATCTGTAGAGGAGAGGGTTATCAATACCTAGCACGATTCAGATCAGGCCCCTTCCTTGCCCCCACGACACCCTTTGATTCTCAGTTCAACCATCAAGTAAGGTTGGCTTGATCCCTGCTTTGCCTTGTTCCTGATGCAAATCTTCACTCATCCCTTCTTCCCTGGGGAAGTCACCATATTGTGGTTCGCCTCAGGTGCCAAAATGTATTGGGCCAGTGCTGGAACCAACACTAAGAGTATATTGCATTGACAATGCCATATATTGCAATGGGCGGATTCCATGTGCATGTTCATTATGATCAATGCATCCTTTATTATATTCCGCAGAAATGCAATCACTCTTTAACAGATTTCCAACTGAGTCAGCTCATATGCCCATCATCAGATAACCAAGGAAAGGAAGGGATAAGAAATTAACAGCTCCAGCCTAACCATGTCTACTCAGAAGTATGTCCGATTGAAGTCAGTGGAGCTTACTCCAAGGTAAATTGAGTTAGGGTTGCAGCCAGAGCTGTAATCCAAAACATATGTGGTATATGGGCATGTCTGAATTGATCCTGTCATGTCCAGATGATAAAACCGTGTTTTGAGAAATAAAGCAAGTATTTCCTTCAATATATAAGCAAATTATGAGTGTGCTCAGTGTGCAAACATGCTTGTTTATTTTTCCCATCTGTTATGTACTACTCAGCGATATTTTGTTTCACAGAATAATTGCTGCCCTTGAATCAAACATTACTGATTTTATTAAGAAACCTGCCTGATTAATCAGTCTGAGGCTTTGAACAAAGGAATTTCCCATGCACAGAATTGCTAATGGCAAATAATGGAGGGAAGGAAGAAAATACCCAGCAACCACCTGGTTTAATCCTGCTCTGATTTGTCAAGAGAACAAAGCTGCCTGCAGGACTGTGCTTGAAAACCACGAGGACGTTTAGCGCCCTCTGTGAATCTGTCTCAGTGGAAAAAATGAAGCTGATGTCTGCACAACTAAAATGAAACCTCACCGGACAAAGGATTCTGCTCAAATACATATGCAGGCTTTCCTTTCCTGATAAAGACAAACACAACAATTGAAAGCAACTCTGAAAAGTTCTTGGGACAATTTCCATCACACACACTTTTGTGCACAGATGTACCAGCATAGCATATGACAGAAGAAAACCGGCTTGTGAGGAACATGACAAAGCAGGGGTAGATGCCCTCTAGATTTTGGTAGACTACAGTTTCCGTTATCTGGTGTTGGTGGGAGTTCTGTCCCAACAACATATGGAAATCACATTGGCTACACGTGATCTTAGGGAAGACAGGGTAGGAAAGGGATACCCCATCTCATCTGACAACCCCACTAGGATTCCAATCCAATCCAACAGGAAAGGCCAGGTAGCTCCAAACCTAGTTTATCCTTGCCAAACATGAGAGCATAAATAGGGACAAGCAGCTGTCAGAAGCAGAAAGATTCAGGATTACGGTGGGTTGGTGAATCAGGTTGCCATAAAGCTTCATATATGCTTTGTGAAGTTTTACCTGAAAGTACCAAAGGCACGCACAGGTATTGAGCAGTTTGCAAGGGCTGACCATCTTTAATAAGTTCTGATGGATTTTGACATTAAAAGACCTGGCGTTTTAATAAAGTGCGATGCAGCGAAAATAGGAGAAATGTCTGCTGTTATAAACCTCAACACATCTCTCCCTGCTTTACTGTTTTTAGCTTCAAGCATGCAATTTCTTCTAACACCTTGCCATCCCTTCCTTTCAAGTCTGAGCAACTTGTTCCAAGAAATTGCAACACAGAATTTATCTTGCACCTACCCTGTCCTTCACCTGTCCAGCCTGTTCTCTTACCTCCAGCGTGCCCATTACTGCATCTTCTGCCCCAGGCTCTAATTCCTGTTTACTTGATCCAATACCTGACTGCCAGCCCACGCACAGCCACAAGTCCTGCCTCTGGGTCAGTGTTAGAAACCGAGATATGAAAGCTAGGAGCTAAACGGCACTTTAAACCTAAGTTATGGGTGCCGACAACGGAATGTCTAGGCACACTTTTGTTCATAACAATAAAACAAAGCTGAAAATGAATGAACTGCAGCTAAAATACAGTGGTACCTCGGGTTAAGAACTTAATTCATTCTGGAGGTCCGTTCTTAACCTGAAACTGTTCTTA